AAAAAAAAAAAAAAAAAAAAAAAAAGGTGGGTTTTTCCTCTCAAAGTTTGTCTCAGGTGACAGCATAACTCGGAACGTTGTTCTCATGGTGGTGTGGACTGAGATCCATCTTGCAGCCCGTTCTGTGTACATACAGCACCTGCCAAGCCCTTCCTGCTGAAGCCAGGAGGAACCGTCCAGTCCAGCTCCCATTAAGGAACTGCACTGGGGAGGATTTGCAAGATTAGGAACCAAACCCTTTTTTCATGCTTCCACCTTTGAAGTTGAGCCCATCGAGAAAGCAAATACCCCCAGCTGCCCAGGAACCAAACAGGCAAACTCCGATGGACTTGCTTGGATAGCAGATGAATTCTTCCATACGATGGCATCCTCCTCAGATCCAGCACTCAAGGCCTGAATGAGCTCCCTGTCCAGCCAGGAATCTGCAGCTAAAAGCTTGCAAATCAGTGTGGTTGGGGAGGTCCCAGGGGTGCGATGGACTGCGTGCTGGATGGGCAGGGACAGGGTGAGGGGTGAGCAGGCCTCCATAGGGTCTGCTGTGGGGCTGCTGGGGATGTGACACGGAGCCGGGAGGGAGGAGAAACAAACCAAAAACAAAACCAAAAAAACGTAGGACATGGCAACTTGCATTACCAGTGTGAACAACCAGCATTTTTATTGCATTTGAGAATGCTATAATGTCAGTAATTAGTACTGACTACACAACATTTTTTATTGTCTGTATCAACAGACATGGAATGATGGAATTACAGTTGATGTAAGGAATGAGTTTCTTTTATGCCTTATCAAAAGAAAAAAAAAAAAATCTTGTTACTGGCAGCACATACACACGAAGCACCATGCTAACAGTCTGGACTGTACCATTTTCATCAAGGCTTATGGGTAGAAGATAGTTTGTTACCTGTTCTGGGTCCGTTAAAATGCAGTCATGACTGCAAGTTCACCTCGCAAGACTAGAATACTAAATTGCTTCTGAAACATCTAAAAACTCAATCTGAGTTCATTAACAAAAGGTACCAAAGGATTTCAAAAGAGTTTAAACGCTTTTTTTTTTCTTTTTTTTTTTTTTTTTTCCATGCTATAATGAGCGTGAGAATATTGGCAATCTGAAAACTACAATAGTTCAAAATTATTTTTAAAAACTTTATATATATATATATTTATGTATGTATATATATAAAATATCTAATGATCTGCAATATTTGTAGGATGAGAACCCCCGCCCCGGTCTCTCCCTGAAGTCGGGGCTCCAGAATTGGGGCATTCCAGGAACTCTTGCCGGACTCTTGCGAGTGAGAATCAAAAAAAGGTCCTCTTTTGTGGTCACTTACTCTACATAAGCCTTGATTTTTTCATTTCACTTCTAGTCGAATGCAGAAACCTAACAGGTTTTACATTTACAAACTTGGTTTTGTGGACAAGGAAGGCTTTGACTCTCATTCCTGACAGCGATTTACCTGATACATGGTACTACTTTCATAATGTACGCTTTTCTTTGAGAAAAAAAACATGTAACAAATTGTCTTTACATCTTGGCACCTTGTAAAGTTTTTTGTTTGTTTTTATACAAAAAGTTCAATAGTTTGACACTCCCCCGTTATTCATCACTACTTCACTGATAAACTTTGAAAGTGTGACCCTGGAACTCATCATGCAAAATATTTACTGCAGCAGGAGAAAAACTTTTTTTTTCTTTTTTTTTTTTCTTTTTTTTTTTTTTTAAACGATTTTTTTTTTTTTTTTTTTTTAACCTTTCAAATATATGAACTTTGTTGGAGACAGCCAGAAAAGGCAGTGGTAAGATAACAGAAGGGGTGGGAAAGTATCAAAACAAACAAACCCAAAACGAAATAAACCAAAAAACAGCTTCAACACAAAAACTGTACAAAAATGCTTCGATCCATGATAACAAGAGAGAGGAAAAAAAAAAAAAATCTGTCAACTATGTTACAATTTAAAAGCTGGAAAAAAAAAAAAAAAAAAGTCAGGGATTTTCTCCCACATGTCAGCAAATGTCATCCAATATTCTTAAAGCAAGGATAACTAAATAAAATACATGTGCAGCGTATTCTGCAATTCCATTACATACAGTAGTTTTTTTTTTTTTCAAAGCTATTTTTTTTAGTATAGTTAATATAAAGCAGTTGCACAAAAAGCAAAAGGTGTTTTGACAAACAGGTCTGCATTTATTCCTTTTGAGGAACAGTATCTAAAAAAAAGGACCTCGCCACCTTTTCCACCCTCCCCACCCCCCAAGACAAAGGCTCACACAGACACAGTGGGATATATATGTACAACATAGGAAACCCCTCCCTAAAGAAGCAACCGTATATCCAAAGGGATACAGAATCGGAACTGTAAAAATCATAGTGAAGTTTGCTCGATGTAAAGCCTGAGATTTTCAGTTGGTTCTTCTGCAAGGCTGCGACACCTGCCAGATAGGTTAAAATCTAATTTTTTATTCCTTTTTTTTTTCTTTTTTTTTTTTCTTTTTTTTTTTTAATATTTTTGCTACAGTCTTTAGACTAAGCATGCAAGACATACAACTAAGTGCAACTGAGTGAAATGTATTTTTTATTTACTCATTCCCTAACAGTTCGGACTGAGGTATGCGTACTAACAGTTTCTCATGCTGTTATCTTTACTCATGTCTAGCTACACATGCTGAGAATGAACTAATCTACCGGATTTTTGTCCCCTTCTGAATACCCAACTAACCAGCAAACCACTCAGTTTAGAAGGACAGGGCTCAATTCTCGCCATCCCTGTCTGGCTACCGCCGGCACGGCACGAAGCTGCCTGGAGATAATTTAAAGAAAAATAAATGTTTCAAATGACCACAGACTGCCCTTTTTTTTTTTTTCTTTTCTTTTCTTTTGTTTTTTTTTTTTCCCCCATTTTTTTTTTTTTTTTTTTTTTTTTTTTTTTTTTTTTTCTTTTTTTTTTTTCCTAACAGAAAGCAGAGCTGAGTTTTATAAAAGTAACTGCCAATAAAATTTCTTGTACCAAAGCTTATGAGTGGACAGGAGTGTTCTTTCTTTATGAAAAATGCTGACCGAAAACTAAACAAAACTGAGCAAATTTGCCAAGATCAACCAAAATGAAAGCAGTCATCCTAGCACGATCCCGAAACAGAAGTGGCACACAATCTGTAGAACCAAAGACCAAATTAGTTATTATTATTATTTTTTCTTTTCAAAACTAGAAATACTATTATGTGGTCCAGTTAAATTGTGGGAGCTTTTCTGTTCTCTTCTGCATTTTATTAAACTGTCTCCTTTATCTCATACTCTAATTCTCTGCAAAATAACTGCGTCTTCGCTTTCTCAGCTCCCATCCCTAGCGTCCCCAGTAACACTGTTTCCTGGTTTTAGCCTCAAAAGCTCTCCTCCCTTCCTCTTTACAGAATTTCATTTTGGTCACTGTAAAGAACTACAAATAAAAAGTAACAACTTTGGTTCAGACATCTACTTGGCCTTCTAAATGTTCTAGAATAAAGGAGCAGTTTCCCTCTCAGGTTAGCAATAGCCCACAGCTTGTCATTTCCCTCTAAATTCTTCAACCTCCTTTGATCAACAATAAGAGGATATTTGGCTTCACAAGATAAAGCATATAACAGAGAACATAATTTACCTTTGTGTAATATCTTTGGTAATTTTAGGAAAAAAAAAAAAAAAAAGGTACAAAGAAGAATATAAATTAAGCTCTGAAAGGCTTTTTGAAATAATAAAAAAGCTACAGTCCTACATAAATAAATGAGTGACGGAAAAGTGGTTGCAGAACGAAAACGTTTAGGTGTTTGGTGACCAAGGTTTACTGACCTATAGCAACAAATTCTGCATATCATGTTTGCCTTGAAGAGCATCGCCAGTCATGCCTAACAAGCCCCGGTGCGAATTCTCTCCTGTATTTCCCGTTTCCTACGGTGAGGTTTCCATACTGGCTGGTGTAATATTGCATAACAATCGTAACCGCAGTACTGGATTTGCACAGTTGAAATTAACACTTCAGCATTAGTGGGGCTCTGTCCTTATTAACTCCCGTAACAAGTTCAATCTGAAATCTAATTTGTATTCAAACAGATTAATGCCACCAAGCAATCCTGAACTGATGTTTAACCGTGAAACATCGCCACGTACAATAACAATTTAATGAAGTCATCTTTCCAACCACTATTTGCCAATGCAAATGCAAAAAGAAAAAAAAAAAAGTCATAATAAATGTATAGGTGCCCATCTCAGTAATCTTAGATATTCCAGAAAGATTTGTTGACCCATTAAAACTCGTGTTAAACAACCGAGAGCCTGCCACTGTACTATCCATCCTCTAATAAAAGTGAATTCTGTTGGTGCTGCATACATTTCTTTGTGCTGTTCCATTTTGTGGCATTTGCTAATATTCACCATTGCTGCCAAAAAAGAAATCTCAAAATAAAAACCAACCCAGAACGACAACAACAAAAAAATACTGCTTTGCGGAATGAATCTGTGTTGCTTCCTACAGTGTTTCTATGTTCATCTGCCATTCATTCTCATTCTTGCAGTACTTCGTTTCTCTCTCTCCGTTGGACAACCCTTCCACATGTATAGTGCAGCATTTGGGACCTCTTCAAAAAACAACAAAAATAGAGACACCGAAATGGAATGTTTTCCACAGCTAAAGAAAACATGGTGGCATCTGAAGGAAACTGGAATGAATGACAGAAAAAACTACAAACAATTCAATGACATTCAGCTTCGTATAATAAAAACACCTATTAACATTCATCACAAAGTACAGAAAACGTTGAAGCCTCCGAGAGGCCCTGGGCCCAGATGAGGCCTGAGGTCAGAACTTAAAATGGTAGAGGAGAAGTGGGGCGGGGGAATAAAAGCAATACATTAAAAAGTTTGGGATAATTTTTTCTTTTTAACCCCTCCCCGATAGACACGCTCACACGCACACACACATATCCACACACGTGCACACACAGGCCTTCCCCATCCCAAATGGAAGCAAAACAAAAAACAAAACAAAACAAAACAAAACAAAAAAAAAACCAAACCGAAACAAAAAACCCGAAAAACAACAAAATGGAGTAAAGGCAGTGATAATCAACATGCAGTACTGTGCAAATATGTTGTCCATTGGAATCCTTAAAATCTGGGCAAAGACTTGATCTGCAGTTCTGGTGTACATGCTCAGTTTGATGTCCTCAAGTGTCCAAAATTGGCAGGACCTGCAGTCCACAGTTGGCTGCTAAATGTAAGTGAATCAGTTTAGCAAATTTACAACACTGACGTTGACTGTAAGAGAGGAAAATCCCAAGTACCAAACAAGTCCATCCAATGCACAGAGTACAAATTCCTTTTTTCAACAAAAAGTAGAAAAATCAAAAATACTCCCAAATGGGATACTTGATGGCACTAAGAGTTAACATATTTCATAGTTGTCAAAGCGGACTGAGAATCCTCCAGACTGTACAACAATGGAGAGATTTCACAGCTAGGTTTGACGTGTTCTTCCCATCTTCATTCTCAGGATGATGACGTCAGACATACTCATTCTATGTCCTCATTTACAGGTTCGTCTTCATAATCTCTGTCGTGATCAAAATCTGGACTGTGGTTGGCTGTTGTCACTAAGGAGAGCGGGCCTTCATTTTCATCTGGATCTAGCGGTTCTTCTTTGACATGCACGGGGTGCCTGGAAAAACAAAAACACGGTCACTCAGCGAGCTGCTCGCTCCAACACGGCTCTGACAGCTCGGGGGGCTGGGCAGCAACGCGGGGCGGCTTGGGCCCTTGGAGCTGCAGGGCGCTGAGGAGCAGAGCCTGAACGTGCAGCCGGGCTGTGAAGGCTGCGCTCCGCCGCTCAGCCTCCCGGGGGAAACGGGAGGAGCACCTCGATGGGCCTTCAGGCTCGGCATCGAGAGAAAGTGCTCTCAGCTGACACGTTAAGTTGATGAATACAATCTTTGGATAAATAAGTGGAATAAGCACCCGAAAAGCAAAGGAGCGGGCTGCCGGCCCGCCAAGCCGGCGGAGGTTGGGCTAATCACTGCACTGTGTGTGCGGCGTCGCTCGTTAACATGCAGAACCTGTGAGACAACTCTCCAGAGGACGACCCCAAGTGAGGTTCTATCATTAATCAACTTCAAGCAAACACAGCAAAGAGACACCATGATACATGCTTTAAACTCCAAATTAATGCATATTTTTACAAACTGTCAATAAGGGAAGAAAAGCCCTGCCAGGAAACACAAACAGAGAGGAAAAGGCTCGCTCAACACAACAATATGATAAGAAAGCACAGTCCTAACGAGAATAATAACACTGTCAGCTGTAAACAAGGCAGAACATGATCCCCAGCTCACGGTGGGCACAAGGATGTACTGAAGAGATGAGATCTGCCAAATTTCTCATTATGGCACAGCACATGAATAACCCGCAGGGGAACGGGGCTTGGTCATTCAAAACGGGTATGATAACAATTGAAAAATGTTGTTCGTAAATCATATTTACAACAAATCCTATACAAATACAAATTACCTTTTCTTTTTGTGTTCGGCAGCTTTTGAAATGTAAAATAGCCATGTGAGTCAATAGTGTCTTGTTGGTGGGACTTTATAGGAAAGTAGGATTTTATTGACATTACCAAGTATTAATAATGCGACACAGCAATGGAGACCCTGTTTGCTTCCTAAATAATTGATGTTGTAGGCAATCCCTTAAAATAAAGTGTTAATGAGTTCAAGTCCCACTCTGTCTCTCATTGAGTTGATATCCACCTCCTAGAGTCCTGTTCTTTTTTTTCCAAGGCAGGCTAATTTAACCCTTTCAGGTCGACTACTTGAAAATATCTGAGTGCAAACACCCCCTGTAAGAACTTTTCCTTCCTTGCACGCTCTGCCTTAAAATGATTTAAAATAGCTGTATTTTACTGCACGCTTTGTGTAGATAGAATGGCAGTACTTTCTGTACTCGGCTGCACTGACAGGCAGGAAGAATAAATCGTGGAACAGGGAAATGTACTCTGCACCTAGCACACAAGCCAAAGGTAACTCTGCCTGTTTCAGGAGACCAGAGAGAACCAGCTGTTTGTCTGTACTGTGCTCAAAGCACCCTATTTATTTAATTCAGTTGGGGACGGATCTAACTTGCTGACTACACGTATCTCTAATGTGAGATGTGAATGTCTTTCAAGTCCCTGCATATTTCAACTTCCTGAGTGCTGAAAGGGCTAGGTCAATACTTAGGTATTAACTGCACCTTCCTGCCCACCCAACCAAAAGAAGGGTTGCTACTGCATCTGTGCACACATACCTTCTTCCTTCCAGTTTACAAATACGCGTTCTATCACCAGGTCTTCTGCCATTTTCAGAAAAAGAAGGGGAAAAAAAGAGGAGGAAGAGACAATTCCAGTCCTGGGGGCTAAGAGCAGGAAGAGCTACCAGTGCTGCACACACAGCATCTTGCTCGCAGTTGCCAAGGTGGACAAGTGCTGAGTGTCCCAGCGGCTCATGGCTGCACAAACGTGAAACCATGCTGATTAGCTGCAACTAGAAAAACTTCCATTATGAATGGCCTGTGGGGCCCTCGCTTGGGAGAAAAAGGGGAATGAAAAACAGGAGAAATAGGGAAAGAATGGCGATGCGCACAGACGAATGAAGTGAGCGCTACTCGGCCTTTATGGCAGGGACCTCTTCTACTGCTGTTTTAATTTAGGTCATGTTTGCTGCCCTTCTGGTATTGATGTTACTGCCATGCTTGTTTTTGCTTTTTAATTATTATTTTTGGAAATGCAGACCAAACATTTTCCAAGGTAAGAGCAGAACGTGTTTCTCACAATGGACACAGGGGCCATATCTTGGTCTCCCATCACAACCTCCCACCTGCTGGGTAGGAACAAATGGGCACCACCAGATACGGCCGGTGACCGCTGTGCTCACAAGAACCCGAAATTCTGTGAAAGCTCCTTGAAAGGCCTCTGAACCTTTCCACAGCAAACTCTGACCACCGTCTGGTTTTGTTATGAAAGCAGGTGAAACCAGGTGGTTCTAACTGAGTTTTTCTTTGAGGTTTGGTTCGGCTCCCAGAAGTCAAAAGCAAAACTTAAGGACTGAAAAGCAAAGTGAGCAAAGAACTTATGCTGCCCAACCGTGAGCGAGACAAGGCAGAGGGGCCCACAAAGCCATGGGGCACAGCCACAATGTCCTCCTACAGGGCTCACGTGTTGGACAGACATCAGACAGTGAGCCTGGAAGGATTCCATCCCCCAAATTAAGAGGGTGATCTGGGTAATGCAACCCCCCTGGGAGGGATTTGCATGGAATACAAAAATAATTCATCTCCTTGCGTCCTCTGTCAGTTGTAACCACAAAGTGGCATGTGAGGAAGAGACCTGATCGAATCCAGGATTTTGCTCAAACGTTTCAGAGCAACTTGACAACATTCAGTTAAAGTAAGCTCAAAGGCAAAGGGAGATTTTCACATCTTTCAAGTATGCCTGAATCTCTATTTACCACCTCCTTACTAGGGGGGGAAGAGAAACTCTTACCTCTAAACTACAAAAAAGGTAAATGCTGGGCTAGGCAAAAAACAACCAAAAAACCCCCCCAAAAAACAAAAAAACAAGAAAGGAGGGAAAAGAAAGAAGAATAAAAAAAGAAAGGGTTTCCTATTTCTTTTTTGTATCAGCAGCATTTCAGCCCATTCCTTTTAAGTAGATGCCTAAGACTCCAGAAGGGGTTAACAATAAATAACCTTGCTGAACACTGATTCCCCTTCTTTTCACATCTGAGTAATTCTTTTGTTTGTCCACTCTGGGAACAGAGGAGTTTTTAATAAAGCTGACTGTTGTTTAAAGCCACTGAGTTCTGGTGGTGCACACAGCATGGAGTAGTTTGCTTTGTGGCTACCTTTGGAGCATATCAGGATGAAAGTGTTATGTCCCCAAGCTGTAATTATGCGACTACTTTCTAGTGTTTCAAAAGGAGGGAGAAGGGAAAAAAAAAACACAACCTAGCTGTGGTTCAATGTGTCATAAAAAGGAAACGAATGAGTGGTAATAAGACTTCAGCTAAAGTGTTAGACTTCTTAGCTGTCATGTTAACAAGGTCCTCTAAACCTTACAATAAAGTTTAAAGCTTGATTTATTTTAATATACTGAAATTGTTTAAAAAATCATTTGCATTGGGACAAGGCAATCTGCACCGAGAAAAAGACTGGAAACGTCGCTACCAAAGCAGGCTCACTGACAGCCAGGGGTTGCACAGCTTCTGGAAATCCCCTGTTGACTCTGGATTTTATTTACTAAACAGGGCAAACTTGAGGCATTTGAATGGTGTTCTGGCTTTAGATCCCTTCCTACTACTTAGAAACACCATTTTAATGGGCAAGCTCACAGACTGGGATTGGAACATCACCTCGCCACATTTTACTTAAGCAAAAAGAAATGTTCAGCAGAGAACACATATATTATCAATTCTGAGAAAATGAAAACACTCAGGAAACAATCATTTCCATATTACAACAGAAAATTGGATTTTCTGGTGAATAATGAAAATGAGGCATCCCTCCCCCCCTCCTCCTCTCTCTCCAGTATTTGTTCGGTGCCCCTCACCTTGGTATCAATGTGCTAAGAGATGATTATTAAGTGCAACAAAGGCCACGGCTATGCACAGTTCTGGAAAATGTCCTAGCCTGCTTCAACTCGGTTACTTCCCCCCCTCACAGTCTCTTCAAAGACAACGAAACCTTAGGTGGAACGAGAAGTGCACGAACTTCGCTAGCCTTGAACTCACAAAAAATAATTACTTGGATTAACGCAACATCAGAAACATTTGTCCCTGTCTGTTAGGCCAGGAGAAACCCTTGGGAGAAGCCTCATTTCTGGAGAAAACCCACGTCCCTGTGCTCCTCCTCCACTCCGGCCCTGCGTGGTCACGGGCAGAGGATAACAAACTGTGACTCAAAGTGCCTCAAGATGAATCTGCTTCTGATCGACGGGAAGCGTGTCACGTAATGCGACTTTGGGAGAGATAATTAATACTGCACAAACAACCACTGGAAAAGCTAAACAGATGATTTGAATGTTTTGAAGTAAATGGTAAAAGACAATGTTTAAAATTAATTATTAATTAAAAATGAATGTTGCCATCTTTAAAGATGTTTTTTTTCAAAGCACATTGTGCGCTGATTTAAAATGCTGCGATATCAAAGCACCCAGAGCTTCAGATTCCTCCGTGCCCCCCTCCCCTCTGACAACACATTATGCAGGTGGGAAACTTTTTTGCCATTAAATGCTAATTAGTTTCACAACTAATTACTACAGTGGTATTAGGTTAATGTTTTCTACTTTTTGATTTAGACTTACTTTTGTAAATCCCTTATTCAAATTACTTTGAAGTGAAAGACGACAAATTAGTTCTCTTTTTAATGTGTAATGTGAGCTGTGGCGAAGCAGCCAGTAATTCTGCGGCCCATTCTAATGAACCAGCAGCGGGATGGCAGTGGGCTCCTGAGCACAGCTACTCGCACAGGTAGTTGAGGTACTTTTTCACATTTGAGAACTGCAAGACGTATAAACTCTGGCTCCCTTGCCAGCTGCCAATTATCCGGTATGCAATCTGAGGGGAGGGGGGAATTTACAGCTTTGCAAACTCACTCCATCACCCCATAAATACTGAGCACACCCATAGGGGCATCACACCCTTCCTGCCTTACCCTTTCCTGAGCGAGCTGCTGCCCTGGTGCCATTCACGTTGAGCAGGGACAGCAATCCCCCATTACTTCATGCGGTTATATATGCACTCATTATACTGCCGTCTGTTGCTATAATGCTCCTATTAATTTTCCTTTTGATATTTTAAGAGCAATCTATAAATCATGCAGACCTTCACGTGTGCCATCATTAATGCTGAGCGAGACTGTTGTGCATCAAGTGTTTGTCAAACCTGCCCAACAGGCCCATTTCCCAGCCCGGCCCCACAGGCACGCTCGCCGTGTGCTCCGAAGGGGAGGGAAGCACCAGTCCTTCCTCTGAGAAACGCAGTTGCCTAAGAGGTATAGCAACCCCACGGCCCAAGGTTTAAAGAAGGGAATTACAAATGAGTTAACAATTTTACAGTCCCATGTGCTTGTCAGACTGGATTGTGCTGATTCCTTTATGTGAAAGTTGGTAAATGGCCCTTTTATGTTCTCCTTAGCCAAAGCACCTCCCCAGATGGACTTGTGCTGCTCACACCAAGAACCTCCACAGTCACACTCCAGCAGATAAGACGCCTCCACCGGCGCGTGCAGCCCTGCCATACTCACATTGCTTGCATAGGGGAACGTCCTGGACTACTGTCACTCCCATTACTGTTCGTATGCTCCATTGCACCATTAAGCTCTTCCCTCATCACGTTGGCTAGGTTGCCCAGAGTGGGATTTCCCATGGAAGCAGTAGTGTATAGAGGTATACTGTTCTCAGCCATTGAAGCCTGCCAAGGACACAAACAAACATATGAAGAGCCATGACTAACGTTCTTATGCACTGCACAACACGCTCACTTATTCCAAAACATTCTCCACATTTACATTATTCGCAATTACCAGTTTTTTAAATATTGTGCTTTCTGATAGGTATTACACTGATTCCACCAAGGGAAATTTAACATAATTTACATCTGGGTTTATGCATTCATAGCTGCACTGGCTTGTGAGTGGAAATGGAGCTTTCCATTCCCTGTTTGGAATTACACCTCCTGGAAAAATAAAATGTGCTTTTCCTATTTTCATTTCACAAAATTATGATTGGGGCTTTGGGTTGGCTCTTTTTTTTTTTTTTCTTTGGTGGCTTAAGTCTGGCTTTTGGCTTTGTTTTTAATGAAGGTTAATGAGGAAAAAAATTGGAACTCGCTCGGCTGGTAACTCCTTCCTACCAGCACAGGCAGGCACACAGCAGGATGACAACGCTACCGAGCCTGATTTTCTTGTGCAGCCTGCACTGATGTACCCAAGAGCCGAACCAGTCCATGTGAAATTGTCAGTCCTGCCCTGTCACTGGAAAAGTGGGAATCTGATGAATTCTGACAAATCTTCCCCTACTCTTTCTAAGCATCAACAACCCAGCTTTCCACCCCGCTGCTGCAGATGTGACCATTTCACCGAGGTTTTTCACCCTTCTAAAGAAACACCAGACAGAGGCACACCGCAGTTCACGTTCTAAATGGAAATCTTTGTACAAAGAGAATGAACTGTTAAATATTTTCCTTCTGATTCCCACCGCTCTGCCTGCTAATATTTACTGTATGTCAGGATTAGCTCATGCTGGCAGCACAGACCCATGCCCAGCCAGGCACTGCGGGAGCCCCAAGGAGCCCAGCACTATGCGGGGCCGTGTGTGTGGGGAGGGCAGCAGGCCTTAGGGGTTGTGGTGCTGAGGGAACTCAAAGGACATTTCACCACTTCACCGAGCCACGTCCAGATAACATCATCTGCTGCCTTCTGACAGCGTCAGCACCAGGACCACAGATGCTGGCTCGGCTGTGCTCAACCCATGCTGGGGGGAGGTCAGCTGGCTCCAGAGTCAAAAAATCCATCTGACTGCGGGTCTGCGTGATGCAAACCTGCCCACGGGAGGGGATTCACACACTCTCCCCACTGAACATTGACCTCCTCTCCTAATTCATGGGACCAAGCTCCATGCTCACCACCATTCAGGCCAGTAGAGCTGTGCCCATACACGGAGGCTGAGGGATGGCCAGCTCTGCCTGCAGCATCTTTGGGGGCATGGCCCCTTTTATTCCTCCTTATGTTGACCTCTCCATGTGCAGCCCTATGTGTCACACATGATTACAAAAGCTATTCTAACAGGGAGGATTATTTTTATCTTCTTGATTCAACAACCGGCAAACTCCTTGTGATGAGGGGATGCAAAGAATGGTTCACATTTCCTGCACTTGGCAAAATAATGACTTAAGTTCTTCACCAACAGTGAAGATAAGTTGTAATTGCAGTAAAGCAGTTTCATGGGGGAGAGGTGGGACACGAGGAGTACATGCTATGATCACAGTGCTGAGGGGGTGGTTTGGGGAGCACAAAAGCTCTCGACAACCCGCTGGGAAAAGGCAGTGCTGGTGAGAGCTGTGTGCCCCTGACTTGCACAGCCGTGAGGGAAAGCAGATGGAGGAGATGTCAGAGGGGTGGTTCTGCCACCCCACAGGGAAAGAAAGAAACATATGGGAAGGCGACTGCAGCAGGACGTCAGTGTGCACTGAGGTCCCACGACGCAGCTCTGCTCAAGATGCCCTGTACCACAAGCATCCCAGGGGATCCAGTTTCCCGGTATACCCAGTAGAGAGGAACCCACTGATCTGTTTAAAACCCAAAGGAGGATCTGTCTGAGTGCAATGAATAGCATGATTTCTCACCCCTGCTTTTTTTTTTTTTTTATAGGGGACATGCAAGCAGGAAGAAACCTGGCCCAGGCTCTTCTCTCTGTGAGTCGAGTTCCTACCATGCTATGTGAGGCCACGGGCACGTGCCTCTGCCAGGGAAGGTGGGGAAGGGAGGCAGTTTGGAGGTTTATCACAGAAGAATGGATGGAGATGACGACAACGACACGTGTTTGAGAAATAAAACATGAACAGTTCCGTATGATAAGCATATTAATTGAAATTAGTCACATAGTTAACAACGTGAAGAAATGCAGGATCATTTCATTTTTTGCCTTTCAGCCTCATGAATGTAAAATGTGCTTGTAATCTTAATACTATTCAAGAGACAAAGCGGTCTTTAAAAATCACACTTCACAAGACTCAAGGGAAAATAAGTTACTAATGAATGGTATTTACAGTTGCTTCATTTAAACATGCCTTCATTTGCTTTTCAGAAGTTACTGCATAAACTCCGATCGCGAGAAGAAACGCAGAACATCACTTTTCTCCTAATAATCTGCTTCCTGGTTTGGAAAAGAGAAGCCTGCTAAAGCTTCTACAGAAGGCGGTGGCCCAAGCAAACATCCATGGCCACCAGTGAGCTGCTGGAAAAGTGACCCTCAACACACACACAGAGGGGACACAACCATAGGTGGTGCTGCATCCTGGCTGCATTTCCATGGTATGGATGGGGGTTGGACTGCAGCACAAACACAACAGCCTGCAAATCCAGGGCACAGTAATGTGTCTGTGCCTCTGGTTCAGTCGCTGAGTCCTGACGTTACCTGAGGTTGTTGAGATGGACTCGAGAATTTGTAGAGACAAAAAAAAAACCAAACAAAAAAGCAAACCTCATCAACAGTACATGAAAAAGGGTCTGGAGAAGCACACGCCTTCGGGGTGCCGGTTATTAACAGTGCACCAAACACTAAGTGCATTTCTACACTGTGAAAAACAACATTTTTGTCTTACAGTCGTTGAAACCAATACAAATTCCCATTTTTTTTTTCTATAGGAATTGCAACATTTTTTATTTTTTTTTAACAACAACAGGAAGATATGCAAAAATAGCCCTTAAAAGAAAAGGGGGAAAAATGATCTGCTTTCTCTTTAAAACCATGAACAATAGAAGGTCACGTGGCACAGTATCCTATCATTCAGCACATTAATAGCTGTGCTAGAGTAATTACACTTGTGGTATTTTTGCCTCAAGTGAAATTCTGAAATAAGAGGATGGAAATTATGATACTGCTGATAAATATTAATAAGTGAACTTTTAATTTTTTTGCCACAATATTCAAAATGCTAAGCATCTAGCTAATGCTGAAGCAGCCTGATATGTGTTTGCCTCCAGGGACTATGATGCTTTATGCACTTAAGAAAAAAGTTTAACGGAATTAAAATTTAATATCTAATTAGAGCAAGGCTAATATATTTTGAAATGAGTGGGGAAGACACACGCCTCTGTTGCATATTTGCTACAGTCATTAATCTTACCTGTAAAGCAGCATTGAGAGGTGTGCAGTAGGTGTGGCTGGTCTGTATGTTTTTAATAAGAGAAGGGTTACTGCATAAGAAAAACATAAAAAGGAGAGTTAAATGCAACCACCCTCTATGCGAACATTTCAAGCATGTAACGCTTCCTCCCACACCAGAAAACTAGTGCTCAGACTGTTTTTCCACACAAGTTCTCTTTCATTTCCCTTTTTCTTTAAAGAAAATATCAGAGTTTTTGCCTACAGTTAACATATTTGCCTTTACTAAATAAGGAATATCATCATACTGTGACGTTACCTCACCATGTGCTCTGCTACCCTGTGTCAGTAGCACATCTCGGGATCTCTGCTCATTTTAGTGCGTTCAGGAGAAATTTTGCAATATTCAGCGTTTCTGGGAGCCAGTTACCACGTAAAGGCCCATGATAAGGAGGCTACGACCAAAAGCAGCATGGAATACTTAAATACTGTGCATGGCACATGGTTCTCAAAGTCACTGGCAGCAGAATTCCTTGCAACTCAATGGGGGACCTTGACAAGAGTGGATTTTGAGCCACATTATTTCCTGATGGGGAAAGGGCTGGCACTGCCCGCACTCCTGCCCCAAACAGTCTGGGACATGGGGAAAGAGGAAAGGTGGCACAGAGGCAAACCAGCTGGTCCTGCTGCTCTGCAGCCAAGTGGTGGGAAGCACACTGCTCTAAGGGCCATTCTAATAACAGTTCTGATGTGCTATCTCAGACTCTTGCTTTAGTCATCTTAAGTTTAAATAAGGAGGTGGATTTGAGGAAAATGTATGGCAAGCTTATCCACTCTTCAGTGGGCATTAAAAAATAGGGAAGTAGGGAAAAACCTACTAAGTGCCAGTGCAAAACATCTCCAGTAAGTTTTACACTCATTGGGCTTTTTTCTTTTTTTCATATGAGAGTAAGGGATGGTGAGAGAAGTCATAACAGAGCCTCTCCCACAGGGACCGGCAAGGATCAGCTGTCCTGGAGAGATGGCCTTCAAGGAAAGGTCAGACAAAATTGCTTCAGGAACCCCAGGAATATTTGTGTGTGGTTGTTGCAGGCACAGGATGCACTGCTGTTTGTAATCGTTACAGATGGTCTCACTGCACTCCTTTTTTTTAAATGTTAATCCATTAAAGTATTGCAAACCCAGGCATACAATTGAAAGCAAAGGGAAATATCAGAATTCAAACTTATCTGAAGCCCCTCCTGGCATCTATCTGTCTTCCTGACAGATCTACAGCAGCATATCTGCATTAGTGTGCATCATTATTTTAGGTTACGTAGCGCTATAAACCAGTGCTATAACAAACATGTCAAAGTAGAGTTATTATTATAGGCATTTGGATTATCAGAGTAGGACACACAAAATACACACATAACAACTAAAACTTTTGCTCCTTTAGCAGCAAAGGTGATGTCACTATTTCGTGAAATGCAAGTCTACATGAGATGGGTAAATCATGCAAAGCAAAGCAACAGCAGAAAAAAAAATTAAAGCAAGTAAAAGCTCTTACTGTGCAACAAGCTCGCCAAAGTTTTCATCAGGGCAGTATTTTCGAGGACGGCCTCGTTGAATATGACGGCCACGTTTAAACTCTTCATCATCAACAGTCCAAAAGGACCCAAACTCATCCTCTACTCTGATAAAGCACTTATGCAGTGAGAGGTTGGTGCGAATGGCACCCTGGGACAAGAGCAGCAGCAAAGGAGATGAAGTGGAAACAAAGGGACACGGGATCGGGGACAGAACAGACATCAAATACAGGGAAAAGGAAAAAGAAAATAAAATGCAATAAGCATAAGCAAATGGTTTGTGAGGGTTAATATGCATTGCCACCTAAAAGCTACTAGCATGTGATGCAACAAACACCAAGCAAGCAGGGTCAGGGTACTGGTGGGCATACAAACAGTAGTGATGAGATGTTTGTCTTGGTTTCCCTTAACTGAGACAATGCGAAACCACCTGTGGTTGGTCTAACACCAGCTAGCAGCCAAAAGCCTCTACGTTAAACTGTAAGCATGATCCAAGCTAGGCTAAGAAGTTCAAACATGGTGGACATACCCACTGATCTTTTGTGGCCTTCGTTTTTGGAACTCTTGTTCATCCACTGTCCATACTGCCCCTTTAACGTTTTCTACTCGCACAAAACACTTGTGAAGACTAAGATTATGACGCACTGCATTCTGCAGCAAGAGAATACATTCAAAAACTTTCTATGAGAAAATGCTCATCATTGTCCAAGAACAGCAGCACAGTCAGCTTGACAGCCCTCATTTTGCAATGTCAACCCCTCTCCCCGCACCCCAGCTCTTTACATCTTATTTTGCAAAGTTAATATAAATATAAAAGCTTCAACCCAAGATTAGAAAAATCAGCTCATTCTTATCAATTACCCACAGTACAAATGAGAACAGCCATCATTTTATAAACACGCACGTTGTATAATATGGCACATTTCACACACAACGCAAGAGGAACATTGCATCGACATTTTCAAAACAAATACATAGGCTTCTCCTCTCCTGGAAAAGAAAGCACTGTGAAAGAACAGAAAGGATTTCATGTGAGTGTGGACGGCTCAATGGAGCGGGGAGGCACTGGGGCTGCTGCTCCTGTGGTTTCCCACAGCTGGGTTAATGGCAATCAGGTGCTGAGCTCCTGCCCCATCGGCGGCACAGAGCAGGGCTCGGCAGCACCCCACTGGCCGCCACGGCCCCAGCCCCTGCCTCTGCTGTGTGCTCTTATATGGAAGTTGGCTCCCGTTCCTGGCAGACTGCTGCACGGACTGATCTGAGCTTCTGCCAAGTGCAAACACGAGGAGGGCTCTCTGAAACAAAGTGATAATATCCCTGCAGCTCATCACCCGGAGGGACCCTGGCGCTCCTAGGCTCTGTGCCTGGGTGTGAGCTGTGGTTCGGAGGATGAGCCCGGCATAACTTGCAGTGCAGTCAGACCTTCCCCTCAAGTGGCCACGATGAGACACCTCGCTGCCTCACGGCAAGCGGGGGCTCTGCTCTCTCTGCTTCCCATACTGCTCACACGGAGTGCCATGCTACATTCCACAGCGTGGGTTTCCCCAGTGCAAAGCAGCTCCAGTTGGTACACAGAACTCATCTCCAGTACCACCAAGAGGAGCTTGGAAAGCAGGGAAAGCAGAAGAAGCCATTTGCTGAGAATATGCAGGCGAACAAACTCCATCCATCATCACTGGCACCACTGATTTAGTCAATCTGGTTGACTCGTTAGCAGGCACAATGCCAGCCAAACACATGGCCTGGGTCTAGGCAACCAAGAGACCACACTTTTTTCCCTCCTGTCATCGTCATCTTTTTTTTTTTTTTTTTTTTTAATGAACATCGGGTCTGGATGGTGAAAGTGAGCTCTAATCATGAATGTCTAAATCACTGTGCAAACAAAGGGTATGGAGAGTGCATTTGTCATGTAAATTAAGCAGCAGTGGTGTGTGTGCTTGCAAGGGAAAGGCTAAGAAGAGTCTTTTGCTACTTTTCCATGTTCCTGCAATCACTAGCACTGTCCCTGATCCATGGGAGCTTTCAGCAGATACTTGGCAGCAAGCTCATCTCCTCTGGCTGCAGGTGCCCGATCCCACAGGCACCGGGATGGCCTGGCTCTGTGGCAAGCTCTGTGCACTTCAGCTCTTCCGTGGGTATCCATTTGTCATTCTTCCTGCTCTTTGTTCTCCTTTTTTTTAATGACTCTTCTCCCTCCTCTCCCGGTTTTCATTAGTTTGTCAAGTTCTGGCAACCCCCCTGATTGGGAGGTGGAGCAGAACACTGCGAACGCCCCACACCTTACGGGTGGAAAGCAGCGAGCTCAGCAGCCGCCGGTGGAGCAGAGCTCCGTGTGAGCGCAACCTGACACAGGGCTGCCGGCCCACATCTGGGTAACTCAGGCAGTTTCCTGTGAAAATGGGAACGCTGTCAAGTCTGGAGCAAAATGTAAGAATAATAATGCTATTTCCCACAGTGAAAGCCGATCTCCCAGTTAATACGGCAGTTGATCAAATGCATAAGCAGAGTTCCGTGAAGTGAGTCCTCGGAGTTTGTAAACAGTCTCCAAATACACAGCTGAGCAGAAATCTCTGTGTGCTTTAAACATATCTAATGCTGGAGAAATCTTTTACAGACTGCTATGTGACTTGCCATCGAGGGCTGGGGCTGCCGGATCAGGCTCTTGCTGAAGATACTGAGACAAACACATTGGGTATTTGAGATGTCCACAAAGCACTGCCCTCACTTTCAGTTTTCAGTATGATCACTTGTTTAAGGAATTCATCACAAAAAAAACCCATTGTTTTGTTCTCAGTGCCTCTGGATACTTGCTATCTAGCAGTTTTATTCATGTTTCAGAGCCACACCTGCAGCCTGTGCCTCATGGCTGCAATTCAGTGCCAGCAAATTACTCCAAAAAATAAAAGTAAACAGGCATCGCCTCTGACCTGTTAGAACCAGTTCACAGTGCTCCCATAGCAATCAGCTTAACACAAAAATTAGGAGCTATTATTCTAAGATTATATATTTACCTTGGTAAAAATATTTGTACGCAAGCCACTTTTGTAGAAAAATTACCCTGAACATACTTGAATGTAGGAAATGAAAGGGTTTGTAATTTTCGTAACTGCTCAAACTCCACTGCAGTGCATTTTGGGGAAGAGGTTCATTTTTTCAAGGTTGTTATTCCTGTGCTCATCTGTGGTTTTGAAACAGGTCTCCAGGAAGCCTGCCCACACCAAACCCTGACCTAAACTTTAGGAAAACTGACTCGAATGCCCGCTATACATTAGCTGAAGGTGAGCTCAAATCAGCACATATGTATTCAAATTATTCTGATTCTGCAATTAGACCCTTGCGCTCATTCTGCGCCCCGTGGGCTTCCCATCATGCTAAGCCAGAGCTGCATTTTCATCCCCGCTGTTCCTGAAGGCTGGCATGAATCTGAGTAGCTCAAAAATTGCATTCCTTGCATGGAAGCCAGAAGTTGAAGTGAACCTTTCCTTCCCAGGCTGTGAAGCAGGATGTGGGCTCCTGGATAGGGTCAGGGTGTCCATGATTGGTCTCTGCATAGACCTGCTGTGCTCCTCTGCAAGCCCAAGGGTCTCCAGCTCAGCCTCTCTCCTCCTCTGTACAAGCACACTGTTAGTGCATGTGGCTCCTGGCACTTGATTTTAAGTGATACGCAAGGCTAATTCCTAACATTAGCCTTGCAGGCTGCCAAGATTGCCTTCTTCCACTCCCTTCTCCACTTCCTTTCACCGCTGGAATTAGATAGGATTTTTGCTTTAGCACCCACACCTGCAGCTGCTGAAAAGGCCTACTGGAAGCGCTCCAGCAGCAAAAGACAGGCAGGTCTAAATGGATCTTAAATCAGGGAAAGTTAATTTCCTTTCTGGACAGTAAGGAGTCTGCAAAGTGAAACACTGCTCATGTTTTCTAACTGAAGTTGAGGAATCAAAGCAGCAATCACAGAGACTTTTCCTGAATCTAACTGTGGTACTAAAACTGAACTAACTTCCAAGGACGATTTTTAGCTCCATCCTCTGATGTAATTAATTCCAAATGCAGGCTGAGACAAGAAAAATAGAAAGAGCGAATGAAACAGCAAGTATGGAACACATTCATGCTACCTGGTCATTTGAAGTCTGAGAGCAACAGAGCTGTCTAGATTGAGAGCAGCTCAAACTACTGGGATGCAATTTTTACTGCAATACAAGATCCTTTGCTTTGATTCATTAATTAGTAATGATACCAGCTTAAGAAGCCAGTCTGGCTGTTGTTAACGCTACGTACGAGAGAAAGAGTGGCCCCAAAATACAAGTAACTCCCAAGATCTTTTATCCAACAACATCAGTTACGGTAGGAAACTGAAGTGCCAAATACATCAATGTTTAGTTCTGTTGAACGGATTTCTTATGGTAAGGCTTGCTTCTTACACAGTATGTTCAGTGAGCTGCTGCTGTGTGACTAAAATGTAGAAGTTTGTAAAATATCTGTGTATGCAGTTGAGAGTCAACTGATTGAGGAAAGGAATCCATTTATCTACTGATCCTAGGGGAAAAAAATCAGTTGTTGTGATCACAGCCTGCATTACTAAGAAGACAAACAGCATATCCTCCACCGACACAATAACATTACCTCTTTTTTTTTTTAATACATTCCAGCTGACGGGCTTGAGTTTCACTGCTAGCAGCAACCACACAGAGGAACTCGTGGCATAATCACAGAACATAAAAGCCAATAATGGGGGATTCAATTAGTGGTTTTCAAAGGCAGAGGAGTTTTCCTGCCAAATATCAAATTGTTCCTGCAGATAAGGCACCCAGCGCGTGTCACAACTGCCGATCTACATTTTCATGTCCACACGTCGTTACAATTTGTTATGTCATCAGCAACGTCTATTCTGTACATGTCAGATATCAAAGGCAAGAGGCACACAGGGCTAAGGCTTACCTTCCACGTCGCCGCGTTGCGCCTGAAGTAAGCAAACATTCGCGTGAACCAGTTGTAGATTTCATTTAGTGTTAGCTGTTTTTCTGGAGATTCGAGGATGGCCTTGTGAAGCAAATCAATGGCAACATCAGTTGTGAGCAAGTCAGTACAAAATACAGTCAGAGTTTTACTTGGACCAATACAAAAAGAATGAAAGAACGAAGGAATGAGAAAATAAGAGAAGGGATTTGGAGCAAAAATCCGAAGGAAGGTTTTCACAATATGAACTAAGATTAATGGCTGTATTTAACAGTTCAATGGCAAAATTCAAAATGGAATTATCTAATTGTTTTGAGTTTTTATTTCTGTTTCCTTACAGAAATATTAATTTATTAGTCATTCATAAAGCAGAATCAAAGAGAAATGCAAAACATTTCACTAGCTGATTAAAGCTCAGTAATTATTTAGAGCTCAGATTAATTCTAGGGATCAGAGATTACTGTAGCTTGTGATAATTGACTTGCCATCTTTAAACAGGCTCATTTTCACTGTTGTGTGAAATGAATTTCCTAATAATCACATCGTATTGTAATACTTAATCAAAAGCAATTATGTTATATATTGCAGTTCTAAAAACCCTTATAGTAAAGGTTTGAGCATTTGAGCATGCTTACATACCAAAGGTTTGAAAATCTATTTAATCCGGAGCGCGCACATATAGGGAGACTTTGTCTAATCCGAATGCCTGTGTTTGGCTCCACTCACCTGCCTAATTAAAGATGCATACGTGAACGGTGGTCTAACTTCTGCGTTCTTATAAAATTCTTGGTTCTGGGCAATATCTGCTAAATAAAGAGCAGTTGTTCTGTTATCATCACAGCCCGTCGCTGCGGGTGTAGGCAGCAGAAAGCTGCTGGGCTGGGAAGGGCCCGTATCAGCAGCACCGCTTTACCTGAAGAAATGGGGACGTTGTATTTATCCGAGTACCGCCTCCGGATGGGCCCGACGTTGTGCATGCTCGTGGTAGTGATGACCGACGGTCCCTGCGTGACGGGAGTGATGGGTGCAGTCGGGGTGGTGGGAGTATGAGGTAAGCTCTGTGGAGAAGCCTCGGACGCTGTCTTGGAAAGCGTGACGCTGGACACCAGATTGAGCTGCGGACGGAAAGGACGAAGGCTGCATTACAAAGGGCGACTGTGGCTAATTAAGGGTGGTAGGGGAAATTCTCATTAACGGAACGACCCTCTACTCAGAGGCAACGCAGCTCGAGTGCTCGCTTCAGCTCCAAGTGCTGTTGTAGCATCTCCATTAGCAAACGGAAATAAATACGTACACTTCCAGATAGATGGATTTTATAAAATGAACAAGGCATCCTGCTGCCACAACTACACATAGTGGATTTGCATCCGAACCTTAAAAGATCTTACAGAGAGTGCCATCATCTTGGTATTTTATTGCAGTTCCGCTGTTTCACGATTTCAACCCCACACCCCTTATTTCCACGCTATCATTATGCACGGCTTCTGATCAGTCTTCTTGGATATTTCACTGAAGGCATCAGGCTAAGAATAAAAAGCCAGATTTTCATAGGGACATAGTAGGGAGAAACACAATCTCTCTCTTCAGCATTTGGGATTGCTTTTTTTTCCCTTCCCCTCCTGTTCATCCATTTTAAAAGCAAAGCCCTTAGTAGGTTAACTCTGGAATAATTTAATTAATCACACCGCATGAAATATTGCAGCCACTCAGCCCAGCACAAGTGGCACCATTCTGCTCTCCCTTGACGGGAGGCACAGTGTTACCTGCACAAGCAGCAACAGCTGAACGCCTCTGGGACTGTGCATCCAACCCAAACACAGCCCAACCACTTTCAGCACCCAGCCATACCCATACCAGCAGCATCTGTTCCTTCCCGCTGCCCTGCAATGCCCTCCGAAAAACGATGCTCCCTTACAACAGTAGGTTGCTCCTGCTGGAGTGCTTTAAACAAACAACCCCATCTCTTAATGACATCAGAAAAAATGAGGGAGAGGAGGGCTCTTTGACTACTTCCACATTTCCTTCCCTTAGGCACTTTCGTGAATAATACTGCTGAAATCTTGACCCCATTGAAGTCAGTAGCAAAATTCCTACTGAATTTAACAGGGCCAGAATTTTATAACTTTTGTTCTGATTAAAATTCCTTTTGGCTGGACATTAAAGCTTTTCAGATGAAGGCGAGGCACACAATTCAGATATGCCCCCAAACAGCTCATGTTTATCCATAAGACTCTGTATTAATTTTCCTCGTGTGAAAGTAACCAGATAAGAAAACTCCTATTAGCATCCCTCGTCTGAGTTAACAGCCAGAAATACTGCTGCTCCTTTATCAAAACAACAGGATTTATCCCAAACAAAGGTAACGGAAAACAAAGGGCTCTCGTGTCACAGAAATGACACCAAGACAAAAAGCTGATTGCCCACAGGAAGGGCACAGCAGAGAGACAGATAAATAGCATCGGTTTTTCAATAAATTGTCCCTGCTTTTTGAGCAACTCTGCCTGCATTAAAGCCCCGCCACAAAATCCTCACGCAGCCAAGTGCTGCTGCCTGCAGCCCTGCATGCTGCTCAGGTACTGCAGGCAACCCATTCCCTGTGTGCCCTGTGCCCACACGGGAACCATCCAGCAGCTCATGGTGAGGCCACAGAAGGAGGAACCCAGCAAGGACATGACGAGGGTGCTCAAATGCAGGCAGTGATTCCCAGAGCATCCTGCCATGAACACTGAGCCTGTGGTGCCGCTGCCACCTCTGCTTGTTGACTGGCGTGATTTAAGGCCACTGATTAGGGACATGCTCATTGTAATGTCTCCCTGTTATCCATCTATCCATCTATTACATATGATAAAAGGACCAGTGATGATAATAATAGTACAACTGACAGGTCTCACCATGAAATTAAATCTTCTGTATTTTATCTCAGTTTCTAAATGGACATTTTAACAGTCCAATAACTGCGAGCAAATCTGCATCAATTTTAAGTGCCCGTCTCTGGCAGAGGCTCGGCAGCCGGGCCCTCCTGTTGGAAAGATCACTGCTCGCGCTCCATCATTACGGCTCTCGCTACTCCATTTCAAAAGAGTTCGCTTCCTTTTTTAGCGTTTAAAAACTTAACATTTAATCTGTTTCTACCAGAGAGCTGCGAGAGAGAGAATCCCCAAAGGTCAGCATTCCCTGCTTCAAGAATTTGAATCGAGTTAGATTTCTTCAGGCTTTTCAGCGTAGGTAGCAACTAGAAATAAACAGAAGAGAGGATGAGCAAAGGGGGGGGCCCTAACAGGCTTGACAAATGACACTGTGATTCACACCCACTGCTGGGCTGCCACTAATAAGCTACAGAGGAAGCAGCCAATCTCAGCTAATTACCAGATAAAATTGTATTGTAAGGACTCTAATTAGGAGATGCTTATGGAGGTGATCTAATGATTAAACGCTGCATTCGAGTGACCCCACCATCAATGTGCAGTGGTGCAAGATGTCACTGGAATATTTTGTAGAAACAGTAATTTTATTTCAAGGAGGGGAGGCAGTAATATTTGTAATAATGGCTATGAGGTAAACTAATTAAAAGACAGTTCCTAAAGGAAGACTGTGGCTTTGAGCAGCTGTGGCCGTTCCAAAACAAAGTGCCAAATCTCAACAGAGGAGCTGCAGTCAAGTGGAAAATTTCTGCCTGACCTCTGCTCTCGCTATTAATTTGCAGGAAAACTAATGACACATATACATATTCCCACAAAATTGTTCTAATTGCTAATTTGCCAAAGGAGCCCAGTTTCCAAATTAAACATGACTGCAGTCTGTGAGGAAAGAAAGAACAAAAAGCTGGAACGTAGCGAGTGTGCTGTGCTTCACCTCCGCCGGCCAGCGCTGAGCCCGAACCAACAAGTTAATGAAAGACAACCTTGGTGCTCGCCAGCAAAGTTCTCCCTCTTCCTGCCCCACACCTGGTACCGCTCTGCTCCTGGGCAGGGGACCGACCCCTCTGGTGATGGCACCACAACGTGGGGTGGGTATGGGGAGGTGAGGGCCGCTGTCTTCGTGGGATCTGCAGTGTCAAGGCGGAGAGGTCGGTGGTGAATTGGAGCAGAACAACAAATTATGAATGGTGTTGGTTTTGTTGCCATCTTGAAATATTCATCTGAATTGTAAACTATTAAATCTCGATACTGCTGGCAATCAGAAACGCACAGCGGATGACAATTCGGGGCAAAGCTCAGGAAGGGACTGGGCTGGGAGGGTTTCTTTTCCTGATGCTGTGCACATCTTCTATTTAAAAACAAGTTTCTATGATTAGGAAAGTTGTTCACACTGGTACTTCGCACACTGCCAGTGTCCCACATACTGCACGTTCTGATGAGGGGCTGTTTCCAGCTGAAGGGATTGTACACAAGGCACCAAGTCAGCAGTGGGCAGCAAGGCGCAGCCCTGCCACCCAAGGGTTAACTGGTTCTGCAACATTTACGCTGGGGATGGGGGAGGGAGGATTTCCTCCAGCCACAAAAGAAAACAAGAATAAAACAACAAAAAGCCACCAAACCCAGTAACAGTTTGAAGTCCTGAAATTCTGTAAATTTAGTCAGCAAAGGGTGCTGGGTGCTTTGTTCAGTTTCAGTTTTGAAGAACCGTGCCTCATGCCGCTTTAACTCAACATCCATAAATGTTTTAATTGTTTCAGCATCCAATATCCTGCTTAGGATTTTAGTATTAACCTTCCCTTTCAAGAAATGGTCATGTCTTCCTATTAAAGGTGAAGACTGAGTCATGGTTTTTTCCTTAGATATAAACAAGACAGAGAGGTAGCCCTCTCTCTCACCCTGTAAAATAGATTTCCAGTAAGTGGCTCTCCCATTAGGGCTCAGCCTGATTCCTTTCTGTGTAAATATCTTCCATGACAATAGGGGCTGCAGTAAAAAACCCCGATCTGAAACACTTTTAGAAGAAGAAAAAAAAAAAAAAGAAATACACATTTATAAATGTCACGGAGAGGCCATACCCACTGCTGCAGGGCAGGGATTCCCCTGCCATTGATGCTGCTGTTTCGGTTGTGATTAGAGGTGAGGGTTTATCAGAACTGAGCTGCTGGACCCTACAACACCCCGAAGCAGAGATTGCTTTTCTTGACACGGAGGGTGGGATGGCAGGCTGGGCCCAGAGCTTTGCTCAATGCTGCATCCTTCTCTTCTGCTCCAGCTCGGACACAGCAGCGCTGGATGGGAGCCTGGCAGGCAGCAATCACTTAGCAGGTGTTGTTATTGGCAGCAGCACTGAGGAAACCGAAGCTGAGGAGCGAGACTTAATGAAAACCAGTATATAAAAACAGCTTTTGTTGTGCTTGAGAATCTCTCTTTATTGCTGCGTATCGTTATTTTTTCAAACTATAAAGTATGGCTACAGCAGCTAAAATGCTCAGTCATTCCCTCAAGAGTTAAAAGACCATTTTTAAAATGCTTTGTTATTACAGTTGCTAAAAACAGTTTTTCAAAACAATCGTAATTGCTATGGTTAGGGCAAAAAAAATACATTAAATAAGGGATATCTGACAGTACATTTCATTTGAGGTGCCAAAAGTTTCTCTTCAAGTTTTCTACCAGTTTTTAATGATGGATATGGCACCTAGCATGCACAATGATTTGTTGGTTCGTGATTTTTTTCCTTTTCCTTTCCTTCCTGTGAACTGCAGTGTTAGTTAATCCTCCAAAATAAAATCACATTTCCATCTTAACCTACCACGCCGACTACTTGCACCAACAAAAACAGAATTTAGGGGAACCATCTTAACAGCAAAACCAGAGTGACAGCTCTTGAGCAATCATTGTTCTGGCTTCTCTGTTTTGTTCCTCGCTGAAAAAAAAAACGTACCTTACAAAGATATGTCACAGCGTATTCCTTCACAGCTTCGTTCTCACTTTGCTCAGCCCTTTATTCTCACCAAAACAACACATGCAGCAGTAAGAGGGACAACTCTGCGCGTTCCAAGTGCTAAGCTGAGGTACTTCCATTTTCTTTTAAGCTGCTGCACCTCTGGACATGGTAATTACAAAGCTGGCCATTAGCAAACAGGCAGCCAGCACAACCTGTGTCAATGCTCAGCCCTTCCTCAGTGCCACTCTCTCGGCTGCCCAGAAAGGAGCTCCCCTGAGGCAGAAGAGCTGCCCTACCTGCAGCAACCCCACATACAGACCTATGTGCCAACAGCTCGGGTCATCAGTACTGAATTACACGAGAACATGTTAAGTCTCCTTGGCTTTGTAAGTCTGAAGAGCTTTACAGAGCACCTGCCTTGGTACAACAGCGTGGGGCACTGGCCCTTCCACTGGAGGGGTGGAAATAACTTCAAGGAGCACCTGCAGGTGGGGATGCGATCGATGGACAGGACCAGCTTCCCCACACCTGGCAGAGCTGTGATCAGTGCAGCAGCATCAAGAAGCTGCCTGGGGTCCAGCCACCACTGCTCAGCCCTGTGTGAAGCCCAACGGAAGGCCAATGGCCAGCACAGGTTACACAAGGCACATGGTGAAAGCACCAGTGAACTAAGCAGCTCAGGCACCAGTTCCGCCTCACAGCAACAAAACTGTTTAAAAACAAGCATTAAGATCCTTTAAGCAGAATAAAAACGTTTTCTCAGTCATGAAAAGGGTGTAATTTTAAATCCCAATTCATTGCTACGTTTGGATTTGCAGCCACTCTTTCCTGTATAACTGCTGATGCACCGTAATATATTAATTCTAACGTACACCTTGCATTAGTTATGTTGGCAAAAAAATTAATTACTGGATGTAAAGAATACTTTGCACTGCAATAATGGTCATCAGATCTTTTTACCAAAGTCCTATCCCACTGAGTTAAAAGGACTGGGGTCTAGCAGAGTCTATGCGGTGCCTGTGTATTTTTTCATAACGAAAGCACAATTTATGCAAAACACTATACTCCTACATTTTATAATTAATTTTCAAATGCTTCACCTATACATATTTTAATAATTTCTGATTTATCAGATGGTATCTATAATAAATTTTTCTATATTTCAATAAATGAAAAGAAGGCAGTTTCAATCCAACAACAGAGTGCCACACAATATAGGCCTGTCAGGCACCAATTTTTACTTCTAACATGTAAGTTAAAGGATAAGGAATTTATAATGCTGCCTGTGAACGAAACCACTTTTCATACACAAATGTGATCTTTTTTTTTCCAAAGGGTAATACAACAGTACATTTACATAAACTAATCCAAACAATCTATGTATTTGACAATGGCAAACCTCACACAGACTGCCTATTGTTGGTTTACATCTTGGAGTTCTTTATGTTGGCTTGTAACACTGCTCTAGCTGTCAAAGGTTTGACTTGGACTCTAAATAAATGGTTATAGAAGTGCTGTGCAGCGATATTGGACTTCTTTGCAAAAGAAAACCTGCTGTGTATGAATTCAAAAGCTATTAATTTTTCAGTCAAAAATATTCATGCCTATTTCTTTTAATAAAGAAACACTGTGCTGAGCAACTGAGAGATAATGTTGACTAGTGGTACAGAATTTTCAATAGAGCAGTTAAAAATAAATTTAGTAGGAGGTCCCCAACAAAGCTATAATTTTCCAGAATGTAAAACATTTTTAATACTAATCAAGACAGCCCTTTTCCCCCTGCGTTCCTCCTTTACTTTTTTTTTCTCTTTCTTTCCCTCTGCTTTCCCTGTTTATTAGCTGTTAACACTAATCTTCACGGCGACACCGCCTGGTACCTCCATAGCCTACAACGCCCGCCAAAGCTGCTGCCCTCCGCGGCGCAGCATTGATCACCGGCTGCCTTGCCAAGCAGCGCTGGCCTTCTTGTGATTTCCTCCCTTTAGTTTTTAATCCTTCCTCCTGAGGGGCACTGCTGTTACGAAAGGCCTCAAGGCAGAGTGCTCTGAGACTCCCAGATTATTCCGCTGTTTTAATTTTTAATCCAGTAAGAGCTATAGAAACCAAGCCTCCTCCCATTCTGTTGGGTCTACGCACTTTGCCAACAATGCGCTGAAGCATTTGCATTCAGGCTGAGATGGATACGAGGAACTAGAAGAATGCTATTTTTATAGATGCTGCACGCAGTTTCTACTCTGGAGAGCTGCTATCCTCCAGACCAAGCAGCTTCATGAATCTCATCAGCCAAAATGGAAGGGTACGTACCTACCGCTCAACTCTACCAAGACTGCCCCGAAAACTTCCCACTGACTTTGACATCTGCTCCAGCGTTCCTGAACAGCCTGTAATTTTCTATCCTTTAGCCTTCCCATCCACTTCTGCAGCCATTTATTCCCAACTACATGGAAAGTGAGAAATCCGTTCCTAGTAAAAATGGGTGCGCGAAGTGTTTAATGATTTTATGTTCTCTATCTCTGTAATGTGTTCTGTTTCAGACATTAATTTTGTCTACCAACTGCATCTTGGCAGGCTACCATATTTGCTGGGTTAATAGTCTGACTCTTTTTTATTTCTATCACCATAAATCACACATATATGGGTGTATGTTTGCTTTATTTATAGAAAAAAAATCAGTCAAAACAGATAAACCAATACTTTGTCATTATGCTGCATCATTGCATATTGATTAAAATTGCTAGTACTAACTATAGATTGTCAACGCTCAATTAATTTTCACACAATGACTCAAAGCAAAATCAAATAAAGCCAGTGTACCTTTAAATCTTACAAATCTTAAAATCAAGAAGCAAAGCACTCTCTCCATTTTGAATAATCATCTGAAGCTCTGAGGAGCATTTTCAGCATCAAGAGGTGAGAAGAAAACAACAGACGAGGAGTCGCTTTGGTCAGGGAAGAAGACGGAGGGCTTGCCCTGTACTGGGGGACCCAGGAGATGGCTTGGCTTGCAAAGCCACTGGCTGCCTTGCAAGGAGTTTATGGAGTGGCTGATCGAGCCCTCCTACCCCACTGGCCACCCCCACAGCACCTTTTCTGAAGAGAAATCTGCAGTGGAGAAGGTTTCCCTTCTCAGTTTCAGTGGTATAAAACCTGATACTAGGCAACAGTGATTATCATCAAAACGTGCGACAAGAGTCTGTTCTACTGTAAATTCCTGTCAGACAGGGAGAAAGTCAAATAAATACGCTACACATAATTTAATCACGTCTCCTTCCTAACACTTCCTAAGGTTTCATGCAAGTGGCACCAATGTAAAGCAACCTACAGACCACCAAAAGGCCCTTCTTTGGGGTCCAGCTCCCATCAGCCTCCTGGAGGAAGGAGAGAGGTGGGTCTCTGGGCCGTGCCCCCTGAAAAACTACCAAATACCTCTCACTTTGCATCTCCTCCCTGCAGCACACAGCAAAGCCACGCTTCGTGTCACACACCCAGGTGGGAAACAGGAAAAAGAGGTTTGGTGTGAGGTTTGGTTTTGCTTTCTGCACAGTTCAGTACTTACAGGCTGAGGGGTGGCTTTTGGTTCAGTCGACTTCACATGCAGGTGTGTCATCATGGCTTGCAGGCGCTCTTTATCTTTTGCAAGCTGAAGGGGGAGAAAAAAACGCTCTATTACTTGTAGGAATAAAATCCAACCTCTGCTTATTCCTAATTAAACAGTTGGCACCAACGCAGAAGACAGGAGAGTTTTATTGCTGAGCAGTTTGGAAATTGTATACAGTCTGTTCATGAGGCAAAGCTAACGCCTGGTGCTGGGTGTCAGTATTTCTCAAAGCAAAATGCATTAGCCCTTCAGCAAGAAAAGCTAGACCTGCTGGCACCGAGAGGTTCACTCTAGCCCTGACAGCTAAAAGACACCAGTGAATCATGTTTATTAACCCGGGAAGCGCAGCAGAAGGCACGCTGTGCAGTGACCCTGCATGCTTTGTCCTCCTTTTGCACCATGGGATGAGCAGTATGTGGATGGGCTGCAGCTCCCACATCACTGTGACCCCCCAGGAGCTGTCAGGGGAACCCGGCAGGGACAAGAGCAGCAGTTGGAATCACCACTGCTGGCATCCCCAAGGTGCGTGCCAAATGGCAGCTGGGCAGAAATGCTACCTGCATCCATCGTGTCACAGCCCAGAAGTGTGGCCAGGCTCCTGTGTTAGATGTTAAGGGGATGCCCATAGGCTGACCCTCCCTTCCCCTGCAATTTCCCATTGAGATCTCAAGATCACAGTGTACTGCTGTGGCCAGAACGGCTTCCAAGTACATTACCAACGCACTGGCCAGGCACTAAACCTCACTGATTTGGGAAACAATATACAGATAATTTTTTTTCTAAAGGAAAATAGGACATTTTCTGGCTGCTCTTAAAAAAAGACAGGGGAACAAAAGTAAAAAAAATTAAGAAGTGGGAATATGTTAGAAGACAATACTAATGAAAAAGATGTGCTATTAGCCTACACGCTCAACATAAAGGTTCCTGTTTCCAATAGGACTTGGATCAGGTTCTTAGACATGACAATTTCTGTAGTTTTGTTTTAGACAATCAGAATCCTGGTGCCAAGAGGAGAATTGTGCTCGCATTCCAGTGAAATGTTGAACAACCTACCCACCTTATCACAGTCATCTGTTTGTAGCAGTAAAGCTGGGCTAAGTGTATATAAAAAGAGACTTGGTCATAAATCCCCATTCATAACCTTACAGTCAAGGTTGTCTTGCTCTTTGCAGGGCAAGGGGGTTCTGTCTGTGCCAGAAAGATGTCACAATGGGATAAAACCTGGCACACAACTTTCCAAGGCAGGAATTAAATGAAGGAAAAAATGGTGTCACCACTGTGTGCTTTGGAAGTGCAAAAGCCAAATCACTGGCCTTTGCAAGCTGCTTTCCTTTTCTTGGTCAAAAATCTCCATGGCAAGAAAGAAAAGCTAAAGATGATACTAGATCTCCTGCAATCTGCCTCCAGATCTGCTCTGGAGATCTGGAGACCACAGAAGAGCAGGGGCGGGCTCTTAGCAACGCAGTGGGAACGTCTCCCTTTCAGAGTCCTCTGAGGACTTCTTCAGAGAAAGTAGAGGTCTTACCCCTCAGCTGCCGTGCTTTCCACAGAACAAATACAAAACAATAAATATTTTAGTCTTGCTGCAGCTCTGTTGTGCAATCTCTCATTCTTAGCAGTTCCTGGGCGCTGGGGCTGCTTGGCAGGGTCATCTGTGCATTAAATTTTGGTCTGCAGGCTACCGCAGGAACCAAAGCTTTAGCCAAAACAAACAAAGCTCAGAGGCACCTGAAAACTTCCTGCTTGCAGCACAGCAGTGGCAGCGGGGAAAGCCACCAGCAAAGCCAGTGGGCAGCATGGAGCATGCCCTGCACTGTGCTTCCTCCTGGCCCCTCAGCAAAACAGTGTTTGGCCCGGAGCAGCTGGGGTCCTTGCTTTTATTGTTCTCAGTCATCATCTTAGCACGCTTTTAGTGCCGTTTCTGGTGGGTGAACGTTATTAAAGATCCTCTCGACATTTCAGGCAGACGCACACTGGTGTTTTGTCATAGTCTAGGAATTCAAACACTCACCCAGTTAGGCAGGAGTTTAAATTATGAAAAATAGAGGTCTCTCAGTTTCAAAGCACTGAAGAGAAGTAAAAAAATCTGAAGAATTTCTTTAAACTGTTTTTCCCCTATGTTAGGAAGCAGTACCGATAAAAAACCAGATTGTCACCAGCAGCTCCTCCTTCAGCAAGCTTCCTCAGAAGAAGCCAGGAGGACTCACTGGGCAGTGATGGGAGCACATTCTCACTGGTGGCACTCACTGGAGCGCAGATTGTCCGCACATGGGGATTCTTAGTGGAGCTGCAGGGAAATGCTCATCTACTGATAGCGTTATTGGGCAAGGGCTGTTATACAACAGAAATAAACTGATTACTGCAGCCCTGTTCCAGTGCTTCTAAGCTTCTGTAGGCAATTGTTTGCTTTTCTGCCGGTATTCAGCCTACAAAACTACATTTGAATGTATACACTCAAGGTGCAGTTGAAGTAGGACTGGTAAACCCTGCCCCTGGCATGGTGCAGCACAGGGGGAGCAGAGCAGCTGTGTCCTCAGCCATGGGCTCAGCTGGCACTCACAGCTCTCCTGTGCCCTGCTGGAAAGGGATCCCTGCCTCTGGCTGCAGAACCCTCCCCTGAATGACAATACTGACTAAGGGCATAGGAGAAACCACAAGGCTTCAGATCCATAAAAGTCCCCTGTGGCAAGGACTTAGATCTGAAGCCTAAAATGTTCACAGGTCCAGAGGCAGCCTGGTGAAATTCAGTATCTGGGGGCAAGGACCTTACCAGGCCAGGCTGGATGGGGCTCTGAGCAACCTGGTCTAGTGGGAGGTGTCCCTGCCTGTAACAGGGGGGTTGGAACTAGATAATCTTAAAGATCCCTTCCAACCCAAACAATTCTATGATTCTATGATTTGAAGGTCCATCACTGAGGAGCAGATCAGAAACAGCAAATTCTTGGCTCTCCATGGAGTTTACTGAAGCCTGAGAGTTCTGTGCTGCACAATGCTGGGTAGGAAAAGACCCTAGCACTATAGTCCCATCTGAAGCCCTGTTCCTTTCTCTGATGTTCTTTCTGAAAGCTCTAAATGGCGGCAGTTTTCAGATGGCCACCCAGTTCCTCATGGCAAGACTGACCTTCTGAGGTTCCCCCAGTTCTCTGGGGCTCCACCACAGTCTAGGTTCCTAATAGTGGCTCCATGGGAAATTCTTCCAGAGCTCACGTACAGTGTTCTGAAAACTTGGATATCAAGACATATGCCTTGGTCTGGAGAGGTTAAATCCTGAAACTGCATATGTGACAAGCAGGAGAGGGAAGACACAAAAGGGGCTCAGGAAGAGGAGAAGTATAGGAGTCTGTGGACCAAGGAACAAGACGGAAGGCACAGAAAAGTGCAGACATTGCACAGGAGGAAAAGCAGACAGAAAACAATGGCAAGAAGCAAGGATGTGAAAATGGAAACCCAGAACAATGGGAAGAGACCTCTTCAGCAGCAGGAAAAGCACTATGGACAAAGGGAAAGAAAGGAACCATGAGCAATGCAAGAGACAACCAAGAAGCAGCCTCTTCCCTCCTGTTAGGTGCCTAGTAAGGCTGTGCACAATAAAGGTTCAGGATCCATTTTTTAAGAGTGTCAATGGATGCTACAAAAAATAAGCCCAAGTAGAGCTTTCACTCCACTGAAAATGGCCAGCTATCTCTATGTTCTCCTATTAGGAGATACTTTTTTCAAGTGTGTCAAGCCTTGCTGCTGTCCTGAAGTGATTTTCCATTCAAAGGTGGTGCTACAAAATAAACGTCCTATTCCAGCTAAGGTCTTGCTAAGGATAGGGATATGTTCCTATGTTTGTGTCTTACCCAGAAGCCTAGTTCTCATTATTTATAATAGCAACAAATGATCATGTCAAGATTGTTTAATCTAAGTGAAATATGAGGAGATCTCTACCTTGTCTGTGGTATTTAAAACATGTTTGTGATGGAAAAGCTTCATGATACTTCTGCAAAACTCCATTTGCAATCAAACTTTTGACTTGTTGATTTGATTGACTTTTCCTTTTTCAAAAAGTTCATTTAAAAATTACTTTCTTTAGAACTCATGGAACTTATCTCCATGACACTGATGAAGCTTCTATGGATAAAATAATTACATTGGGGAAAAAAAAAAAAAAAAAGCTTTCTTTTGGGCCCACCACACTCAAAACTTGAAGTGCATCCCTCTAATGCAATGGATTTGCTCCTCCTTGGAGCTATGAGGTCCCTCTTCTACCTGGCTCACAGAACACAAGTTGCTGTCCATAGCACTGATTTGTGCCACTCTGTTGCAGAAGTGTTGGGTAGAGCTGCCCCTGCTGTACCACACTGGGTGCTGCAGACCAAGTCACTGAAAACTCTGCTATGGAGCTAGACCTTCATTGCATCACAGTTCTGTGAAGCACAAGTCCCAGCCAGATACACTAGACACTGGAAGATAAATTTCGTCTCCTCCCATGTTCATACTTATGCAGATTATCCAAGGATTGACATGCAGGATGAAGAGAGGGAGAAGTGGGGAGTTCCAGGGGCTTTTCAGAAGCAGGACAAACTTCCTTCACCCATCCTTCCTGGCTAACACACAGACAGTCTCACCGCTATCAGCATCCCATGCTACATGAAGCCTCCATCCTATCCTCTGTGCTAGTAAGACTGTTAAAAAAAAAACAACAACAGGAACAAACACAAAAAAATCTTTGGCTTATCCCTCATACCACTTTGAAATAATGTTCTTGTCCTGGGGACTTCATGCAGTGACTCTAAGCTAGATGTACTCCTCAGCACTAAATGGGTGTGAATCCATCAATATCAGTCACTCGTGACAATCAGAATAATTCAGCAGTGATAAACCTCTCAAAAACATTGTAAGGACCTACAAACAGGTGGTGACCTGGCATCATCTCTGTGTTGTTCATGACTAGGGCATCCTCCTGTAGTTCCAGGCACAGACATGCCCACGAACTGCAGGAGGGAAAGAAGCATTCAGGCTTTTCAAGCTGACTGTAACTGAAGAATCTTCATCTGCCTTCAGCACAAATATTATTGCATCTTGGTTAAAGATTATCTCGTATCTCAGTTTACCAGGAAGACTGCAGATTTGCTCTTCTAATTCTCAGGAAACTTGTTAAAATAACAGACCACCTCTCATAACATTTTCTGCAAGACTCTGACATTTTATGACTGGTAGTTTGGTTTTTATAAAACTTATATTAAAATAGTTTATATTGCTTTAGCTAATAAGAGAAAGAGTGTCATGACCAGCGTGTTCCTGAAAATAAAATTTAGGAAATATCTATGAAAGAAAAAGGGGTAATTTGTAAGATAAGAAGATAAAAGGAATTTTTTTAAATGCTTATCTTGAAAAGTAACAACAAGAAGTTTAAGTGTGTTTTTGCTGATTTTTCTCTCCAACTATTTGAAGCTATAAATGACTTAACTCAGTAAAATTCCAAATGTAATTATCTTCTGTACTTAGCCCAAGGCTTTCCATATATCTCTACACTGCTGTCTTGCATACAAAATAGGTTTTTCAATAGCCAGTAACTATATAATGTACAACATTGTTTTAATTTCCCCTTCTTTGCTAACCTCTTGCCTACACACAGAGAGACTGTCAAAGCTGCCCAGCTACAGCAGCGAGGTGCAGGGAGACAGAAAGAACTCAAAGGCATTCGGAAAGGCAGTTGCACAAACAGGTCATATTTTCACATTGCATTCAATATATTCCAGTTTACTCCCCTTCTGCAATTATAAAAAA